GGAAGATCTTGGTGAAGAACCTGCCCCAGGACAGCAACTGCCAGGTGCGGGGTGGGCGCTGGGCGGCGACGGGGGCGACTCCGGAGAAAAGCAGCCTCCCCAGGGTGCAGGCTGGGACTCGGCGCTTTGGAACAGCGGTGGGCAGGAGGGATCGGCGCAGAGTGCTGGGAGCGGCCCCTCGCCTTCCCGAGCCCTTTGGGTTTCTGAGTCTGCAGACACCCTGCAAGGGAGGGCAGCAGGGGCAGGTTGGGAAACTGGGGCTCTGAGCGACCAGACTGCTCGTCCAAGGTCACGGGGATCCGGGCGGCTGCTGCGACTGTGGCCGGCTCTTGTCCTTTCCACACGGTCCAGGGGGAGTGCTGGGTGAAAGAGTGGAGATGAGCAGTGAAACACACATGTCTTTTCTGGGGGGTGGGGTGAGGGTGGGGGGGCGAGTCTCCGGGCATACCTGCAGAGGGGTGGACGGGGGTTGCGTGGGTCTACGGGACTTGGGTGTGCCGTTGGGGGGCGGGGTCACGGGAGAGCTGGGACCGAGTTGGGATGTTGCAGAAGTGCTTGACCAAGTTTGTATGAAACAGCTGTCTCCTCGGTTTGCCGGGGTCCCAGAGGTTAAAGACTGCATTCTGGGGAGCCTTGCAACCCTCTTGTACTGGTAGCTTTGGCCTCAGTGACTCGGATGAAATTTAAAGATAAAATACTCTATGACTTTAAACCAGATTAACTGTTGCTTTTCAGATTAGAAGCTCTGCATCTATTTCACTTTTTTTTTTTTTCCTGCAAAAGTTACATGCTCCTTGTAGGAAAACGAGAAAATACAGAGAAGCGCACAGGGGAAAAGTAGAAATCACCCGTGTTTCTGATATCTAAAGATCACCGTTGTTACCCTGGCGTATTGGTCTTCTGTCTTTACTATGGATATGTATACGTATGCATTTTTGTTTTATCAAAGATATGAGATCATTTCCTTGATTCTTTAGGATTTCCTAATTGAATGTAAACACAGATTTCACGTGTAAACGTGAATTTATATACTGAGTGTGGTGATCTTTCCTGGAGGTAGTAGATTTGGGCCAGTTAGACTTCTGTAGTGCCTCCTGTAACCCAATGCTTGGAATTGTAAGAAGGTTGGCTGTGGATAATTGCATGACACTTCTTACATGTGACCCGCGCAGTAACGAGACCCGTGCTCCCTTGCTATGTAATTAGACCTTATGTAGACACAATAAATGTGAGCATCATAATCTTATAACTGACTTGTGTGCGGGGCTATTTTGTTTCAAAATGCAATGTTAAATTGTATATCTCATCACTCTTTTCCACCACTGTCTACTTTCTATCTAACTAATGTTTTGTGATGAGTCCTATAAGAACACCTGCAAAGAACTGATTTCTTGGAAACAACTTCTGCTCAGGCAAATAGAAAACAGCAAGGGAGCTGAGGAAGAGGGAGTCTTGGAAGAAGCAGATGGCATTTTTAAATAACAAATTAAACAGCGGAATTGTGTGGAGATAATCTGGAAGAAGAGAGATGGAGAAATGTCTTGATTTTTCTTTGTATAAGGTCAACTATTTTTTAAAAAATCACATTTCCTTGCACTAATTCCAAAACTATTTAGATCCAAAATTCAAGACAAGTCCTTTTTCGCTCTGCTGTTGGTATCTTTCATATTTCCTTTCAAAAAAGACATGAAAGATATATCAAAGGGTCCAATAAAAGAAATTGTTTTCATTAGAGCTGTGTTAGTGATGGAGAGAGGGTTCCTGAGAATTACACTGTGATTAGTATTTTTGAAATACTCTTTATCTGTATGAACTTATGCCTAGCTTGCATCTTAGGATGTTCTGAAAAGTAGCAAGCATAAACTAGAGAACAAATTTGGTAAGATCTATATGTCTGGATGAGTCATTATTGCCAAGTAAAGTATCTTACATTTCTCATGCTAAGTTAGATTCTTATGCCATGTTTTCTGAGAGCTGAAGTTTCATCTAAAAACAAGAAATGTTGTTAAACAGTTAGACTTGCTTACAGACTTGTCCTAGCATTTGCCTTTTCTGTGATACTTTCCCTAACAAAATGGTTTTTTTAAAGAAGTTTTTTCTTAGCATGCATTTACTTGCCAGAGAGAAAGACAGAGACAGTGAGCAGGGAAAGTGAGAAATCACCCCCCAGGGGGGATGGCCATGCCACAGTCCATTCTCTATTCATCCCCTGGGATCTTGGGCACATGCACATGTACCTGGCAAGATTTTCAAGCCACTGGGTCAGGGACTTGAACCAAGGTCAGCTATGTGAGAGTCCAGCAGCGTAACTACTATACCATCTGCTGCCCCCCTTTTAAAATAATTATTTATTTAATTTAATGAATTACTATTTTAAAATTTGCTATAAGGCATGCATGCCACCAGAGACAAAGTAAGAAGGCAAGTTGCCAGGTCAGACTCAAACTGGTTAGCCAGGTGGGAGTCCAGCACCCTAACTACTACACCACCTGCTGACCTCCCAAATGCTGTGTTTTATTATTTCTGTTGTATGTTTTTTTTTTTTTTTTGAAAGGTTTTTGCTATGGGGCGTGTGTGCTCACCAGAAAGAGAGAGACAGAAAGTGATAAATCACCCCCCGGGGGGATGGCCACACCACAGTCCCTTTTCCTCCACTCTCCTCTCTGGATCTTGGGCAGGCATGCACACGCACCCTCATGAGTTATAAGCCACCGGATTGGGACTCAAACCGCAGTCGACTACATGTGAGTCCAGTGACATAGCCATTACACCAACTGCTGGTCCCATCTGTTGCATGGTTATTAAAATGTAAATAGATCAGTGTTTGATTACTTATAATGTTTGCTTAGGTAGTATCTTTTTTTCTGTCATCTTTAGTACTTACACCAACTTTGCTAGTTTCCCAATCATAATCATAACTCTTAGTGGTCTGTGTTACATACATAGGTAAGATAGACATAAATATGCTGAGTTCTAAAAGCAATTAAAGACCATCTTTCCTATAGATTATTTAGAATGAGAATTGTTGTATTTATTGGTCTAATAAAATTACCATTTTCTTTTTTAAGAATTTTTATTACTTAACATTAATTCATTAATCAATTAATTAATTTTATTTTTAAATTTGACCAGAGAGGGACAGAGTGAGAGAGAGAGAGACAGAGGGGGGGTGGGGGAGTGAGAAAGCAAGCCGCCAGATCCAGGACTTGAACCGTGATCAGCCATGTGGGAATCTAGCACTTTAACTACCACACTATCTGCCAGCCCCACTATTTACTTTTTCTTAATAGTTTCATAAATATATTTATGAATTCTTTGAATTTGATCTTTTTCGGTTATTCTTGAGAATTTTAATGTGTATTTTTTTTCTTAGTGACTGTATTTTACTGTCAACTTACTAATGAAGGTTTAATTAATTTTAATTCTATTTTATGCCCTTTTGCCAGGAAGAACTACATTAAGTCACCTGGACTAAAACTAAATAGTTAACCCTTCTGATTGACTAGTATGTTTTCTGTGCAATTATTAAGTAATCAGATGTTGAAATTCTTCTTGTTGTTTTCCGGAAGAGAGTGTGTTTATTCATCCATTCATTTTCACATTAAGGATCAGCGACATTCAATTTTTGGTATAACAAATTTACAGTGGCATCTCACAACTGTACGGTTACTATAAGTAAAAGGAACGCTGAAAATGTTAACATTTTAAAGATTATTGATTTATTTCTTCCAAGAAGGAGAGAGAAAAGTAGAGATGGACAGCACCCTCAATGCCATGATCCACCCCCAGCCCTAGCCAGCCAGAGATCATGGCCCAGGGAGATCATGGCCCAGCACATGCCCCGTGTACTGGGGGGGGGGGGGGGGCTCTGAACTTGAACCAGGAAGCATTTTGTATGGGATTGCCTTGAAGAGCATTACATTTACCTGTCCCCTTTGGAAGTATTCTTTTCAAGTGGGAGTTTTAGAGGTACATGAATCAAATACCTTACAGAAATACTAGCTCTGAGAAATGAACACCTTTATGTGAACACATTTTTTTTTGGAGAGATTTTCACTGTAGGGCGCGTGTGCTCACCAGACAGACAGAGAGAGACATAGAGACAGAAAGCGAGAAATCACTCCCCAGGGGGGATGGTCACGCCGCAATCCCTTCTCCTCCATTCTCCTCTCAGGATCTTGGGCACGCACGCACAGGCGCCAGGAGTGAGTTTTAAGCCACCAGGTCCAGTTCGCAAACCGCGGTCGACTATATGGCAATCCAGCGACATAGCCATTACGCTAACTGCTGTTCCCTATGTTACTGTATTTCTATAAGTTATTTATATTTCATGGTTAACCTGGTTTTGTTTCAATAGCGTCATTAGGGTTTTAAAATGGAACAACTAGGGCATTTACTTTCTATAAGATTGTGTTCACTCAGTTTTTTTTTTCTTACATACATGTCTTCTATGTGTGCATGTTTTTTTTATTTTTGTTATTTAAAGTCTGAAAGAGATTAAGTTGTGTAATTAGAAGAAAATGTGAAACAGTTTGGGCTAACTGCCAGGATGGCATAGTGGTTATGTCACTGGACTCCCAGGAAGTCAACCGAGGTTTGAGTCCTGGACCCGGTGGCTTAAGGCACTGGGCATGTGTGCCCAAAATCCCAAGAGGAGAATGGAGGAGAAGGGATTTCTGCGTGACCATCTTCCCAGGGGTGATTTTTCGCTTTCTGTTTCGCTTTCTGTCTCTCTTTCCAGCAAGAGTGCATGTGCCCTATAGCAAAAATCTCTCCCCCGCAAAAAGAAATAAAACATGTTGTCTCACTTTAGGAACTGTAAACTTTCATTTCAAAGTTTCCTATTATGGTAGTTCATCAAGAAGCTTGATAGTTAATTCACTGAGATCCATTTGAAAATATGGTATTATTGGGGACCAGCAGGTGGCATGGTGGTTAAGGCATTGGACACTCCCACATGGCCAACCATTGTTCAAGTCCTGGACCTGGTGGCTTGCTTTCTTTTTGTCTCTCTCTCTCTTTCTCTGTCTGTCTTCTGGTCAAA